TGCTTTCACAAGCATACGATGCTTAGAGAAGAAAGAAAGCTGGAATTTTGGTAGAGATATTGCGTTAGGATATAATATTTGATACCTCACCGTTTGTGGTAGTTTTGAAGATTAAACTGAAATAACTACGATACCTGCGAAGAGGCTCTCAATATTACGGTATTCGACTTCTGTTATCTTTATGGAAGTGAACCTATGCTTTAAAAAAGGAACCTTGCTTGTGCTGTGAGACTACTCAGAACTGCGCGCTGACAATGATTTCAAATCTGCTTTAGGCCTGGGGCATAGTTCACGCGATTTCATCGTCTCGCGATTACCCAACAAGACAACTGTTAGAGTCCATTGTATGCGGATCATGCATTTCGGTTGTGACCGTTCGTAAAGACTGATCGCGATTAGCTAACTGTCACAACCGAAATGCAAGGTGATCGACATGCAATGGGCTCGTAACAGTTCTTCGGGAAAATCGCACGGCGACGAACTCGCGAGAACTATGCCCGAAGCCTTACCGATTACAGTTATGAATTCTCCTTTTCTCCGGCTTTTTAGCTTCCTTGCTAATAATAGGTTCTCTGTATTCTAGCCAATCTCATCTACAACACTCTCAGTCAGCTTCGGCGCATTGTAGAGTTTCGTCCTTGCTGCGCCACGCCTGTCGCAGAATTCACTTTGAAGTAATCGTTGGCATACTCGTTATATGATCGACACTCAACATAGGACCTTTGAAGTGAAAATTGGAACCCTGGAAGTTCCGGACTATGTTTTAGCGTCCAATGCTTGCCCCATCAAAAAGATGACTTATTGTAACGTTATTTAACGTTGTCCACATGCGAAATATGCCGCACAGAAGTTCAAAAAGAGATACACCGTCAAGGACAGAGTCTATGAAGTTCGGTTTTTCTTTGTTAACAGCAGGAGGACATTGCTGAGTTCAAATCTGGCGCGCCGTGCGAAACCGCGCGGTTGCAGTTGGTTGAATTTCTCACCCACGCACTCGTTCGAATCGATGCGCGACCACGCGAGTGACCACTTCTATCCACTACTCGTTCTGATGTGTCACTCATTCTCTTGTCGTTTATTCTAGCCTGTTCTCCTGCTTTTATCGTGAATTTTATGGAGTTTTTTTTCAATCGAATTTGTTTCGGTGGAGGCGTAGTTGAGATTCGGTGATCTGGATTTGTTTTTAAGGTCGGCGCTTCTTTACCCACATGTTGTATCTCGTTGCTTGATATTACGTGTATTACATGGAGACGCTATGCTTAGTTTCTGTTCTACAACGATTACCAACTTCGTCTTCATAGCTTGTCATTCATGATACTCTCACTTCTTCACTTCATACATATCTATGGATAAACGTAACCGATGCCCTAACATTCACTTCGTAAAGGCAGTCAGTTATAGCAGTAATGAGTTGCATCATTCAATTTCCACACGTCGTGAAATTTAGAATCAATAATCTGCGACGCTAACTTTAGCTTGTTATGTTGATGCTACCATCTCCGAACAAAGACATTTGGAAACGTCGTCATTGTGACCTCAGCCAAAAAAGTGTCTGCAGATAACGGACGTTCGTGATAAGGCTGAAACACTAGAAAAACATTTTCCCACGCTCCCAATGGGACGTTGGGAAGTTTGGCAAGATATGCAAAAGGTGCTTTTCTCTGGCTATTGGATTTTTTTCTTTCAAAAATGGGGTTTTCGCAGCATGAAACAAAACTGCAAAATAGTGCGTAATTCTTGTGGTGAATTCAAAGAATGTAATCTGCAGATGGAAACTGAAGGGAAACGTGTTGTTCGAAGAGAGGAATTTGAAGCCCACCCAACGCTTTTTCGACTTGCCACAGTGATGGTTTATCTTATACTGAGGCAATTTGTATATTTGTTTGTAGCATAGGTGGTCGGTTACATCTACCACTGCTTATTTACACCACTTTTATGCGGCTTAAGGGGCTGGGCATACATCAAGTTCATCGCCTCGACTCACTCACCAAGACAACTGTACGAGTTCATTGCATGCACATCATCTTGCATTTCGGTTGTGAGGGTTTTCCGACACCACCAAACCCGACTAACTATCATAACCGAAATGCGAGATGAACAGCATGCAACGAATACGTAACAGTTGTCTTGTCGGAAGAATCGCGAGGCGATGAAAACGCGTGATGTATGCCCGGCCCTTTGGAAGGCACTGGCAAAGTTAGCGTGATTAATGCAAAATTAGTATGATCAATCACAAACATAACGACGAATAATTACCGTAATCCTAAATGCACAAAGTAAGCCAAATGAGGCACGATAAGAAGTGTTAGGCCTCGGACAGAGTTCACGCCATTTGATCGTCGCGATTCACTCGCTACAGGACAAGTTACGAGTCCATTGCATGCCGATCTTCTAGTCGGTTATGATAGTTAGTTATGATTAGTCGTTTTGGAAAACTATCACAACCGAAGTGCAAGAAGATCGGCATGCAATGATATTGTTAAGTTGTCTTGTCGAGATCAATCGCGACAATCAAATCGCGTCAACTCTACCCGAGGCCTTAGGCTCTATCTAACCTTTTTGATAACTGGAATGGATTCCCGTTATCTGCTTGTAGTTTACGAGATGGTTTTGAATGAGTTAAGCTTGTGAAGGCGCGCGCGGTTGCTAGTATCATTGTACGTTGCGTCCTATGCGCTCGAGAGATGGACATTATGTTCATGCTGAAGGTGTTCACCCGAAGTAGGCAAAATCAAGGAAATTTTCCTTTATAGAATATCATAATGTACTGGTCGTCCATCACTGATTTGCACTGTTGTTTGGTGCTGTGAAAGCTTCATTTTCCGAAAGTTTTGAAATAAAAACCCAGTTGCCAGAGATAAGCGTCTGTTCGCATACCTGCCGAACTTCCGCAACGTCCCATGGTGGGCGTGGGAAAATGTTTTTCGCGCATTGCGCGGTTCACAGCGTGAATGTTAGAGATTGCAGACAGTTAGATTAAGCGCAGTTGTCATTGATAATAACAGTGATGACGTATGTAGAGGCATCAGCAAATGCTGTTTTGAATGGGGTAAATATCATGCTTTCTTAGAGACTGATTATTTTTATACGGAGTCGTTTTTGTAGAGTGTTGGATATCTGAGAAAGCTGATAAAAAAACGTGTTCTGGTGTTCCTTCATCGTTCGAAGATTAACTTTGATGCTTTGATCAAATACCACAGTGGAAATGAGCAGTCAAAGGAATGAACATGCTAGCAAGCAGGTTGTTTCGGTCAGCTCCGAGAAAATTCACAAGAATGAGAGGGATTTCCAGTAAAGAGACGTAATCGTTTCTTTTGCGCCCCCGCTCAGTGTAAAAGCATCAGCTGTGGACCGCCGCCCTCTTCTCGGTGGTCTCGCGTGTTCTTTGAAAATGAGTCGGTACTTTGGAGGGACTGAAGGAGGTTTTTGTAAAGCGACAAATACAGACAGAGCATAAATACAGATTAAGGAAGGTGTGGGCCTAGTTTCTACTGTCTTGAACAATATCTAAGTTGTGTTTTGGTTCTTTTTGAGTTTGGTATAAATTCGAAGCTCTTTTCCTCCATGCTCAGGTTTTTGCTTGAAGTATTTCCAACTTCCTCTAAGCATTTAGTGGAGAGATCTGCAAGAAGTGCTCCTCCTAAGTTGATTAAGATTCTCGTGAAAGGCAATGGAAATGTATTTTCTTCACAATATACCTTACAATTGATCTGCTACGCTACAGTACATGTTCGCGGAAGGTACTGAAGACGCCAACTCCTTTAACCTATCAAGTAAATGTTTGCACAGTCCTTAAGCATAAATGTGTATGGTCCGGGATGTATGCGCTATGTACAGGGAATTTCGTCATTTTTTTTTTTGAATAAGCTGTCGATTAATATTCGAAGTAAAAAGTTTCGATTTGGAATGCCAAACAATACTCGACTTTTTGAATAATTCGCACCTGCGGGTTTCATTCGAATGTTCGAACGATTAATCGATTCGATCCTATACTGTGCAAGTGAGTTCAGTTACCTATTGAATGAAAAAACGCAAGAATTGTAAGAGTTCATTCTCTACAAAATCATCTTAGGGACGCGTCATACTTCGCCGAAAAATAGCCCAAAAAAGCCCAAAGAAGCTCAAAAGTAACAAGAGGAGTTGGAAGGCCTCTTTTGCGCGCAAGTTTTGGCGCTAAGGCATCTGTTAATTTCGCAACCGATTCATTTTGCTTCATTTTCGTCGTCTGCACATCAAAATAATGTCAGATTCTACCTTCCAGGGGCGTTCGGCTCTTTCTGGCGCTTTGCTTTTTTGGGCGTTTTGGGCTTTTTTCTGCGAAGTATTTATAACGGGTTCCTCACGTTTCTCTTTCATCATGTTACCCAATCGCGGTCATGTATTTGAGTTCTTTAGACTTCGCATATTCTTCCCCTCGTATAAGGTCTTCCAATGGTAGTTTGGTCGCAGATCACTCAGTTTGACATTCAGCTGAACGCAAAACTACTAGCTTTTAACAACTAAAAAAAGGTTCTCGGTGAATTTCGAGGGATTTATCTGTAGGCGCCAGGCCTACCCGGTTCAGTCGGTTTATCCGGTTTACCAATAGTCGGACCAAGAGCGAATGGGGTGGTGAACCGGACGAACTGGCTGAAGCGGATAAGTCCGGCACCTAGCTAAGCTTTTGCTACTGGGTGCAAACCTTCAGATCTAGGGTCAGATCATAATAATTTATCAAAATAGACCTGTACAATATACAATCCATTTATCCATATACGCACACTTATTTCATATTTCTCTGTACACATTCTATGATGCAAATCGCTGTCGATCGATGAAACTGGACGACCATTATGTAGAATCTGAGTCAGACGCATGCCCTTTTTTGCTTGTCGTTAGCGTTTGTAATGGCGATTTTGCTATCCGGTTAGACTTTCTTTTTCTCAGTCCGATTCTTCTTTCTCAGACGAAACTATGAATATTTCTGCTTCGCTGAAGAAGCGTTTTTCATGATAGTTGAGATCTTCCTGAGATGATTCTAGCATCTGCAGGATATGTGTGACGACGAGGTTGCAGCTCTTGTGGTTGATAATGGATCCGGAATGTGCAAGGCCGGATTCGCCGGGGACGATGCTCCACGAGCCGTCTTTCCCTCGATCGTTGGACGTCCCAGACATCAAGGTGTCATGGTTGGTATGGGTCAGAAGGACTCCTACGTAGGAGACGAGGCCCAATCAAAAAGGGGTTGGTTGATGAAATATATGCTGAAAGGGCAAATCTCATATTTTTCTCCTCTCAGGTATTCTGACTTTGAAGTATCCGATTGAGCACGGTATCGTGACCAACTGGGATGATATGGAGAAGATCTGGCATCACACCTTCTACAATGAGCTTCGTGTAGCCCCAGAAGAGCACCCCGTCTTGCTCACTGAGGCTCCACTCAATCCCAAAGCCAACAGAGAAAAGATGACCCAAATCATGTTCGAGACTTTCAACACCCCAGCCATGTACGTCGCCATCCAAGCCGTTCTGTCCCTCTACGCATCTGGCCGTACCACCGGAGTCGTGCTCGACTCCGGAGATGGTGTCACTCACACCGTCCCCATCTATGAAGTAAGTTTTTTCGAAGGGTCATATGAAAGATTTTCATGCTAAATTCATTCCCTTTTAGGGTTATGCCCTTCCCCACGCCATCCTCCGTCTCGATCTGGCTGGCCGTGACCTTACTGACTACTTGATGAAAATTCTCACCGAACGTGGTTACTCGTTTACTACCACAGCTGAGAGAGAAATAGTCCGTGACATCAAGGTAACCTTTTCGCGAGCGGATAGATCTAAAACAGATTACATTCACTTTCTAGGAAAAACTATGCTACGTTGCTCTCGATTTTGAGCAAGAAATGGCTACCGCTGCCTCCTCATCTTCTCTGGAAAAATCTTATGAGCTTCCTGATGGGCAAGTCATTACTGTCGGAAATGAGCGATTCCGTTGCCCTGAGGCACTCTTCCAGGTAAGCTATTACAAGGTTCTCTATAATTTCTCAGGAAAAGGATTTTTTAGCCTTCGTTCCTGGGTATGGAATCTGCTGGAATACATGAAACATCGTATAACTCCATCATGAAGTGTGACATTGACATTAGGAAAGATCTTTATGCGAACACTGTACTTTCCGGAGGAACTACGATGTATCCGGGTATTGCTGATCGCATGCAGAAGGAAATTACAGCACTAGCGCCTAGGTTTGTGGCTTAAGAATTAGGTAACGAATATTCCATGTGAAAAATACTATTGCAGCACAATGAAGATCAAAATCATTGCACCCCCAGAGCGCAAATACTCTGTCTGGATTGGAGGATCTATCCTGGCTTCCCTGTCCACCTTCCAACAGATGTGGATCTCCAAGCAGGAATACGATGAATCCGGCCCATCCATTGTCCATCGCAAGTGCTTCTAAATCTATGGTGTCAACGGATCAACAGTTTAAGCTGCCTTTTTTGTTTTTGTGCATATTGTTTTCGTCATCGTTGTCTTAATAATAAACTTCTGACTTGTTAGAAATCAAGAAGTGCGCTTATAGCAAAGGGATAGCCTCAATTGTTTGTGCTGTACACGGGTGGTGAAGAGAGTTCCAACTTTATTTGACATTCTCAAAGCGTTGCATATCACAAATGTGAAAAGGTGTACCACGCATCAACAACAACAGGAACTAACTGCTCGTCTTATCAGTCTAGCATTGACCTGCAACCCAATAAGTACAGCAAGAAAAGAAGAAAAAAATCCGCTGGCGTGCGCTATTCAACACGACAACGCCTTGTATAGTTTGCATTTAGAGTCTTCTCATCAATACTACCGCACGCAGATAAAAAAGGTCGTTAAAAAGATGAACATCCAAAAAACATCAAGTATTCCGTATAGCTCCTCAAAATAGTTTTTTTTGGGGGGGGGGGGGGTGGCGGGCTATAGGCCCATGGAAAGTTGCGAAGGACATGAATTTTTTTTGGGAGACGGTCAATAGGCGCAATTTCTCCGGCCGTCACAAACTAAAACTGCAGTTTAGGTTATGAGAATCTTCAAAAAAAGTACCAGATAAATAGCTTACTACGGTCTGAGCTCACCACTTGCTGAGTTACATGGTTTTTACTATGACGTACTGAAACATTTACGAATATGTTCTTAAATGCATTTTCATGAGTTTTGACCTTCAAAATTGCTGTTTTGAATTTCTTCTAAAGTATTAAGACTGAACAACCCATGCAACTATTTGGTATACCTTCTTTTGAATATTATGTACTTCCAAAAGTTGTGAAACACTTATTGTGTGCTATTTGGTGTCCAGCTAGCAATAAAAATCTTGACATACACCCATTTTTTTGGAGAGCGTAACTAGCCCCACATTCCTTCCAAAATTTCTTCTGTCCTTCTCAGCTCTTCCTGTAAATTTCTTGCGTCGCCACTGTCACATGGTGACAGTATCCAGTATTACCAAATGTAACTGCCAGCAACTGTCGTAAACTCCCAAAAGTAAAGCGGACTGAGCATTGCCGACGCTTGATAGCGTACTGTCTGTCCCGCAGAAAGCATCAGCGTGGCTGCCTCTCGATCGCTTTAGCATGTCAACTTCGAGTAAGCGCCTTGAATTTGCTACAGTTTATTTGTTAAAACAATCGAAAGGCAGGCACGTTGACGCTGCTACCTATGGGAACATTTCTGTGGGACAAACCATATACCGTGAGTTACTAATAGCGGAAACGAAAAGTGATGCATCACAGTGAAGGAGCGACAATTTTTCAACTTGTTTAAATGTTTGCATTGTCCCTCCCGCCCTGCCCGCTAACTGGAGTCGCCTTTTATCTCGCTCTAAGCAAGAGACCGTTTGACTGGTGATTCTGCGATTGCAGATGCGAAATATTTATCGTCGGAGCATCACCTGATGAATTCGAGAAGTAAAACTCGAGGGAAACTCAACTGGAGCAGTGCGTGTTGAACGACGCTGACAATGAGTGCAATTGGACTTGTCTGCAAATGTGCTGAGCATACAGATTCTGTTATTCTTCTGCGGTTTGGAGTTAAATAGGCACTGTTGCGAAATTTTTTGATATAGTAAGGTACATAAAGCTGCTTATCACCAGTTGTATCGATTTTGCTGACTCCTGGTCAGTTGATTAGTCATTTTTGGAGCACCAATATTTGTTTTACTTCAAAGGTCATAAAATGAAAGCTTTACGAGCTACCTTGTTGGTTACCAAAAACTTAACTAAAACGGAAACTGTCTCTGAAAGCTCTCAATCAAGATATGTGTTCCCAGATACGTCATGAGAGGGAGAAGCATCTGGGGGCAACCGGTTTACGCCAGTATAAATAACGTATGGCTCTCGAAAGTTACTGCCAATTGTGACTCACCGCTTGGCAGCGATATCTTGCTGACTCAGATCCTTCAGCATTTCTCTTTTATTCTTACAGCTCGGGAATATAATGTATTCCATCGATTGCTTGCAGTGTCAAGGATGTTTCAAGAGATGTGGTCGCTCACAGAAACAACCGATCAAACACCATCTAAATAACATTGCTCATCGTTTAACCGGCAGCACTTCATTGTTGCTTCACACGTTCTCAGAGCCAACCTGCTATCCGTTCCTTTTCCCTTATTCGGAATGATTCTCCTGTTTATAGCAAGTTTGGCTCATCAAGCCTATCCTCTGTTTATGGCAAGTTTGGAAGCCTATCGTGCTATGCTGTATTTTCGATGCACTTTCATCATTTCAATTTTTTGAGTGATCCCGCATGTTCAGATAATCGTTCTCAGCTCGTATCTGATGGCATCCTTAGTAAAAGTGATAGGCGACATCTTCAACAAAGGCGGGAGAAATCAACAACGGCCTGGCAGCCCATTTCGTGCAGATGAAATCATGTGGTTTGAAGTTTTAAAAAGATGTGACAATGCCTCGCTACTCCGTGCTGAACTGGTGAGTGTTATCACTAACTTTTGGTTTTCATTCATTTTTTAATAAGTGATTTTGGCAATGGCTAAGAACCCGTCATACTTCGTTGAAAAGCTCCAGAAAGCGCCAGAACTTTCTTTCACTATGGCGACTTTGGACACTGGAGCGTAGTTTGGAAAAACATTGTTCAATATATTCTTGCTTTTTGTGAGCCAAACCATGCACCATATCCGATTTTTTCATCTAACATAAGATCTTAAAGTGTCTCAGTCGAAAGAATATCTTAGGCAGGGTTCATACTGAGCCGCACAAAGCGGCACAGTTCCAGCAGTGCGCTCCAACTGTGCCGGAACTGTGCTGCATGCGCAGTTGGAGTGTTTTGACCGTTTCTGACGGTTTTTCTTCTAGGTTTCTCTCATTTCGGGCCTTATCCCTCCACCCCGCTTTTCCTTTTGATGTGTGGAATTCCGAGCGCAAAGCGGGGTTGAGGAATAAGCGCTGTTCTGCTTTGTGTGTCGATTATGCGTGTTGTTCCGCTCGTTCATGTCTTTTCGTTTTATACTTCCATAAAAGTATTCTTTTGTTTCCAGGAGGCCACTGCAATATTTTCGCAGGCATTTTTCTTGAAGGAGAGCAAAAGTAGTGCAGAAGAGCAGGAAATTCCATCAATCTGTTGGCCACTTGTGGGGTCCTAGCCCCTTTTCGTTTTCATTTCATTGTTTTTTAGTTATTTTTTTACCCCGCTTCTCTTTTTGTTGTGTAGCGCTTCGAACTTGAAGCGGGGTAGAAGAAAGAGCGAAAAAGCAACGAAATGGAAAAAAGAATGCGGCTGAGAGGATACATGAAGCACAACCGGGTTCATTCTTTTACCCCACTTCAAGTTCAAATCGCTACACAAAAGGGAAGCGGGGTAAAACAAAGAACGAAAAAACAACGAAATGAAAACGAAAAGGGGCTAGAAGCCCAAAAGTGACCAACAGATTGATGGAATTTCCTGCTCTTCTGCACTACTTTTGCTCTCCTTTAAGAAGAAATGCCTGCGAAAATTTTGCAGCGGCCTTCTGGAAACAAAGGATACTTTTATGCAAGAATAAAATGAAAAGGCATGAACGAGCGGAACAACACGCATAATCCTACACACAAAGCAGAACAGCGCTTATTCCTCAAACCCGCTTTGCGCTCGGAGTTCCACTCATTAAAAGGAAAAGCGGGGTGGAGGGATAAGGCCCGAAATGAGAGAAACCTAGAAGAAAAACCGTCAGAAATGGTCAAAATACTCCAACTGCGCATGCAGCACAGTTCCGGCACAGTTCGAGCACAGTTCGAGCGCTGTGCTGGAACTGTGCCGCTTTGTGCGGCTCAGTATGAACCCTGCCTTACCTTCGCAGAAGTAGTACTTTGATAATCCATCGTGCACAATCGTTGTTCTTCTCACTTCAAATGCTTGCACTTGGAAAGTTTTGATGTCACTTCTGCTAAAGTATGAATCACTCGGAATGTGTTTGAAATCAAACTAACGTATCTTACTTTAAAGTTTCGAGATTAACAAGTTCATTTTCTTGAGCTACTATTAGCTGGCTTTAGTACTGAAGAAGATCTACTTACCCTACTCATACTTGACCCCAGGTTGAATATTGTACGCGGTAGGGGCGCTCTTTTAGGCGGTTTCTGTTTTTTTTTTCGCTAAGTATGACGGGTCTCTTTAAACTTTTATGTCTTTGTGTTAGCGGTCGAAACTGCAGCGCAGCATAATTGAGGGAGTTGAGCTCACTTTCTTATTAAATGCAATGACTTGCAGCTTGCTTCTGTTATATAGGGAGGACTACCTCAAGTTGACGGTTGCAGATGAGATGTATATTACCAGACTATTCTTTGAACGCTGATTCCAAATCTACTTTCCTATTTTGACAAACTCTCTGAAAGAAGTTATGAGCGTTTGGAAGTCAGCAAGCGTTGAGTGGCATAAAATCAACGAAAAGTACAAAAACACCTCTCCACTGGCAGTTGAAATTCGCATAGAGTTGTAGAGCTTTTCGCTAATTTTGTGCCACTTATGGCGTGGCAATTTCACATTTTCAAACGCTCGTGTCTTCTTTCGAAGGATTGTCCCGAGAAAGGAAAGCAGATTCGGTCAGCTTTTTCGCGTCTGATAATCGCCAGTCAATCGCCAATCTAAGTTGATATCCTTCCTTTGTAAATAGCAGCATGCCTGCTTTCTTATGAAAAAATTTTAGGCTTGTCGACTGTTTCGTCGAATTTTGACGACTCCTCAATTCTGGATAGAAAAATGCGAGTATGATGGCGTGACACTGCCTTCCTTCAGCTGGAGAAAATACTTCCGTCAAGAAGCAGACAACACGGACGATGCTGGGGATCCACCAGAACATCATGAGTTCGACTACAAAAGAATTTGTTTTCGTCGACCTTTCGAACGCAACCTTGCTATTGCTCTCACTGCCTCCTGTACGCTGAATAGTTTGAAAAAGAAGGGAATGGTGTTCAGATCAGGCGGTGACGGGTGAGTTATTGTCTTTTGCACAGTTTTCCTCGTTCTTTGCTACTCGCTTGGATATCTGCCCTTTTAGAATCCGAATTGAAAATCCTCCTGAGTACTGTGAGCAAAATGAGGTTCCTGTCTGTTTTGCAACCAGTTATCAATGGTGTAGTCGCTATTTTGAGATCGATTTGAGCAGAGCAGGAGTGCAGGTTAGTGTTTAATTGTTCTTTACCATTCTTTCCTAATCACTAAAGTTTTCTAATGTAATGGGCGCTATTTGTCTTAAAACGGTGCTGCTGGATGCTGAAACTCTCGCTCCTTATTCTTCGTACAACTTACGTATCTATAATCGGCTCCCAGATTCGTATAGAGACGGGTTGCGGGCTTTCCTGGATTATAGGGGTAAACTGATAAAATGTATAACTCTTTCAAATATTGAGCTTCTGTCTCCAAATCTCATTGAGACCTCTTTGATTGTACATCGGCCTCTAATGTGTAGTATATGTGAAGAGTTCAGAACTATTTAGAACTTCGTTCATCCACCAACTTTCTACTTTTCAATCGCGTAATTGTCGACATAGTAGACTTCCTGTGAAGCCAGGCTTACATAGAAAAGCTCAAAGTTCTCCGCTATCCATGTATAAGATCGCCTTTCAGTGTAACTGCCAATCAATATACGTCAAAACAGTTCACTTGTTACTATCCTTCTTTCTTTGCAGATTCACATGAATTGAGCCTCAGTTATATTTTTTGTGTATATTTCAGGACTGGGTCATGGACCTTATTCGACCAGAAATCACGGTTCGTGAACGTTGCGCCTGTAGAGAAGATTGCGGGGCAGAGTATGAGCTTCGCGTACATCTCATGAAAGACGATGAAGTGTTCGATGAAAATGTAATCTTGCCGCGTTTCCGTGTGGCCGAGCGAAGTTGGGGACAGTGGGAAGGTTGGTTTGGTTTCCAGTGGTGGATCAATATCAGCCTGTTCCAGGAGGTAAATGTTGGGAAACTGTTGAACATGTGCTCAAGGAATACCCAGCTGGAATGAGGAAACTGGGAGTTTTTAGTCGTGGGAAAGACACACAGTTTTGGGCTGGACATTACGGTTCCAAGTTCGGTGCTACTGAAGTGTACATCAAACTACCGGACACTCCGAGACTACTCCCTATGAATGAATTCCCAGATGCTGAAAAGCGCTACACAAATGACTACCTTGGACGTCTTCCTTTTCGCTCATTACGAGCTCCAGTTGGAATGAGAGGTCGATTTCCAGCACGAAGATTTTGAAAATTCTGTAAATTCTGTATGTACATACTCGGTCTTTCCCACCAAATCCAATTTCCTCATCGGGGTAGGCCTTCTTCATAATAATACTAGCAAAGCAACTTTTCACTCGTTAGGGTTCCTTCATACTGCGCCGCGCACGCCGCGTACGCCACCTACGCCGCGTACGCCGCGTACGCCACCTACGCCGCGTACGCGGCGTACGCGGTGCGCGGCGTACGCGGCGTGCGCGGCGTAGGTGGCGTACGCGGCGTGCGCGGCGTAGTATGAAGGAACCCTTAAAGATGAGATTGGTCTTCAGTGTTGCATTCCACAAATGCATGCCATTTAGTTATTGCTTTATTGCCTGTATGGCAAATCATCTAGCACTAAATGCTTTCGGTCGGGTGGAGGACTATATGTCGCCGAAAAAGGGCGGTCCTCGCGGTCATTTGCGACAAATACGCACCCTTGTACATACGCGGACATGCGTTCCTGCAGGGAATCCGCGCGGGACTCTTCCAAATCCGGCGACATATAGTCCTCCACCCCTTTCGGTCTGTTCATTCCATCGTATTTATTTGTATCTTCAATTTGTGTACTCTGTTTACTAAATTCGATTAGATTTGGTTGCAGTTGATTGATGTTGCTCTGAGCGAACGTGAAACAGTTAATAGATTTGATAAAGATTATCTGTGAATTCAATTGAAAGCCGCTGATCGTCTCGCAGAATTTAGAAAGGATCTAGAACTAAGCATGGATACATAGATGGTCAAAACTGTAAACTTGGACGCTGCATCCTATTCGGAAACCTAGGTTTGCGTACCCTTTGATTCAACTGGCTTGGGACTGGAAGGCGGGGCTTCATGATCTAATTAAGGCTAGCTAATGATTAGAGAGCATGCGCGCGGGAGAGAAGCAGACTGCGCCGCGTACGCCAGCGGCCTCAATTAGGCCACAAAGCCCGCCTTCCAGCCGTCAAACCAGTTGAATCAAAAGTTATATAGTAGCAGTTGTGGTGTGTGCCGAGTAAGCACAGAGACAACCCGAAAATGTCGCTTAATGTCGCGAGTATCCAGAAATGACTCGTATCCGCTCATGTGTCTACATTCCGAAGTCTATGCCATGTGCTGCGACTGTGCGGTCTGTGTCACATGCATCTTAGTGCGGCGGATCATAGATATAGACGCCTCTAGAGCCAGTTTTTGAATGAATTGGGGAGAATTCTGATGTACACAGAATGAGATCCACTAGGTTAAGTGCAAATAAAACCAACCCCATTCAGGGGCTTCTCGAGCTTTGCGCGATTCTTCTAAAAACAACACTCTTACTAGTGTGCAATATAAAAAGGACGGTATGGCGGCAATGCTCTTACAATCCGAAATGCCTCTAAGCTGTTATGACGATGACCCAAGATGACTAAGCAAGGAGAAACCTGTTCACATGTGCCATTTGCACCGACGCCTAATTGATGTTTGGTCCGCAGAAACCTGTCGATTGCGCCGTGAATCAATTTCGTCGAGACAGGCTTTTGTTAGCTTTTTCGTCGCTTTTTTCTTCACAGCAGCTAGAATAACCTTTCATTCGTTGGCTTATGAACTAATTCGGATTAGAGCATCTGAATATATGTTATTCCTTTCAATATTTCCTTTCACCTCGTGCAGCTCTGATAATGCTCCACTGTTGTGCCATTTGTAGACTGCTTTTCACCAAATCTGCAGGGTCCTCTAAAAACTTCTTTGCGTGCGATTTCCGATTTTGGATTACCGATACGTTCAGTATATGTCTGATTACTCGGTGATCGGATTGGGTTCATTCGCTCATTTAAGGCATACTAGGATGAGTCAAAAGTGAGCAGAGGCCGTATTCATCACCAGTGCGTCACCTCTGCTTCGCAGAGGTTCGCACTGGTCCTACTATCTGTATGCGTTACTCATTCTCGTAATAATGACATTGATACATACCGCGCTATGCGGACCATCACGATGGATTTGTAAACAACGTACTCATTCCTAAGACTTTTTCATGTGAGCGGTAAAACTTGGATGAAACTTTTCCCAAAAGAACAAATGCAGATTTGAATCAATTTTTGGACTTTTCATGGCTTGGTTTTTGCCATAGGATACAATAATCACTGTAGGCTACATCTCCGTGCAAAAATCCTCTCAAATGATCGGGTAAAATCTTGGCAAATTGAGCATTTATGCAACAAATATTTTTTTGGCGCCGTTTTCGCAAAGTAGTAAACTTTAGTTCAATTTTTTAGGCTAAAGTCCATGGCTTGCAGATTAACTTGTCAAACATATCCGTGAACTTTGCAAAAGGTCTTGCTAAAGGCTCAATTTTACCAAAAGCCAAGTGGATCCATCTGGCTGTGATTTTCAAAGGATCCACTGAACGGATCCGCTCAAGTTTTGGTATATTGGACTCTCATGGTAGCATGCGCTGTGCAAAATTTGGGCTTAAGATGTTGGCTGGCAACCTTTCCACGAATTTCGTGACAGACAGACAGACTTATACACATCCACACAAAAACACGTAAACATTTTTAGCCCGTTATTATAAGTAATCTTAAATATAAAGCTGAATGTCTGTTTGTATGTCTGTATGTCTGTATGTCTGTATGTATGTATGCCTGTCTGTCTGTCTGTACGTATGTTCCGAATAGAAAATTCCGTTTTTGAACCGATCGGGACCAAACTTAGCACACATACACTTCGGGGCCCGGCGGGTGTCATAGGCTACTTTTCGTCATCGATCGATATCGATTTTTTGCAAAATTTGAGCTGCAGGGCTGGGAGTTGGCACAGGGGGGGGGGTAATCAAGCATGCTGATCACCCCCGTGGGGGTGAACAGCATGCTCGATTACACCCCTCTGCCAAATTCCAGCCCCCTAGCTCAAATTTTGCAAAAAATCGATAAAATCGACATCGATCGATAACGAAAAGTGGACTGTGACACCCGCCGGGACCCGAAGTATACATATGTGTGCCAAGTTTGGTCCGGATCGGTTAAGAAATGGAATTTTCTATTCGGAACATACGGCGGAGCCGGGTAAGCCAGCTAGTGATTGATAATACCTTGAGGTAAACCCTACTTCCAGGTAGTTTTATCACTCATTATCATCTAGTTTTATCGCTGATAATGAGTGATAAAACTACCCAGAAGTAGGATTTACTTTAAGGTATCAGTGATGAATACGGCCTCAGAACTCGCCGTGATATTCTGAAGATTACGCTTGGTTTAGGGCCGCGCATACTTCACGCGATTTCAGTCGCGACGCGACTTGGCAATATTCCAACTGTCCATAACTCACTGTAAGCACATTTTAAATGTACAGAAGATAGGGTGTTTTATCAATTACGTGAGTCATACAAACTATGCATGTGCATGCTAATGTTGGATCTGAAGACTTCTGGTTGCCAAATCGCGTGAAGTATGTCCGGTTCTTTACTTTGCACAATCAAGGAAACGAGCTTTTTAGTCTTCGATTGCGAATTCTTCGGAGTTGGTGCATTTTTATTTTATTTCATTCTAAAAAGGCCGCAAAAGGTCATTCTAAAAAGGCCGCAAAAGGTGAGTATGAGAATACTGAATAAGATTTGCATTTAGGTTTGCTCTGTTTTTATGTGATTGAACTTCTGTTGAAACTTTGAAAGAAACCTGAAATTTGAAGATTAGTTTTTGCACAAGGCGAGAACCATGGCTTCAAGATTCTGGGAATTTTTGAAGACAACGTCTAGACAAATTTGGACCCATGGGGATTTTACGTGTAAAGTAATTTTGGGGGGTACTTTTCCGTTATCCGGACCCATTTTTTCAAAAGGCTCTTATAAAATACGTTCTGTAGTCCAAGTACAAATTTTCATAGATTTTACGAGGACCGCCCCCGCCACGTGTCAGGAAAAAATTGACACGTTCTAATCCACTTTGACATGTTTTTTCGAAATCATTTCCGCTAAGGTTAAAGAGCATCTATAACCACTCGTTCAGCTTTTTTATATAAGAGCAAAACAATCTAGAATCATTACTGGAATATCTTGATTGTTTCTAGCAAAGGTTCAAGAATGTATTTCACTTCAAACCTTCCGCCATGCGAGTTTAGTCAGGAAAGTCTACAAATGATGGCTTGAAGTAGTACCTCGCTGCTGCTTTTCGCCGCTTGGATGATGGAACCCTAGCGCCCCTCTCTATTCTGGGCATGTCTAGTACGTTCATTGATAAGAGGGCGACGTTATTACTATAACAATGTTATTTTTGAAATTGTTTAATCAAAAATAGGTTTATTGTTGACCAAAAAAGGTTGGACTTATGTCGCTAGGTAGAGCAACACAAACCCTTGGTAAAACTTGTTAAACATGTAAATGGCATGTCAAATTTTTTTGACACGTGGCAGAAGGTCGACACTCTTTCCTATGAAGTTGGGACCAAATATTGCGCAAGGAAAGAAGCAGTATCCTTCTTTGAAAAAATGGGTCCGGATAGCGGAAAAGTACCTTTTGGGGCTCCGTCTAAGGCACTGCCCAACCGGCAACTCAAGAAGTGCTCTAACGGCTGGGGTATTCCCCTTGAAACTGAACCCCATCATCGTACTTCGCATGGATTCATGGCCCGCGTGGTCCCTCGAAACTGATGGGTTGCGCCATGAATCCATGCGACGATGCTGGGGTCCAGTTTCGAGGGAAATATCTCTCTAATAAACAAAAAGAGAAGAGAAGGCTGCGCTGAACACTGTGTGGAGCACTTATTCATCATTATTCAATCCGTTTCGTTCTGAGAAAATTGAGGATGAAAAGTCAGTATTTTTGACTCAAAACATCTAGATCGTTTATAGCCTGTGCCCCACATTACTTCCTTTGCGTGCTGTGTTACAGTGTGAACTGTGGAGCAGACGACATTTGCTGTCAGTGTATTCTCTCGAGATCTCCTACCTGATCTCGAGAAGACACGCTGTTTCGGAATAGACAACGACTTGTTTCAGAATGGTGGCATACGCATCAGCCGTTTTGAGCAAGAGATCTTCCTTCGTCATCGGCGAGAACAGTGTCGTGGACGCTGTCCTAGCTTTGGATCCCAGCACTTACTTCTGCACCATCAATGGACAAATTATCAATAACTTCGATCAAGTATGTCGGGAGCTTCCCAGCGATACGCCGTTCCAGCTCCACTTTCGTTTACTAGGAGGAAAAGGAGGTATGCTACAGTTTCGTATCCCTCAGTTAATCTGGCTTGATCATTTGCTTAATGGTATTTTTTCGATTGCGAGGAAGTGTTACTTTCTATGTTCGTCTATTCTATATCTTTGAGTCTAAACATGTTGGATGTAAGAGTATGCTGTCTTGTGTGCTAAGGCTTCTTTCGGAATTCTATGAGCCTACAGGTAGCTAGCACATGCAGTCGGCCTCTTCGGACCCCGAAAAAGGCGTCGTTGCCATGATGACTGTCAAATATAGAAGCCATCAGTTTCGGTGATCTGATACCATGAGGTAGCTTCTCATATGATTTTTAGGCTTCGGATCACTTTTGCGCTCGTTTCGTGTAAATAAAAGTACCAATCAGCTGATGTGTCGAGACCTCAATGGTCGTCGTCTGGCTTCCATCGATGAAGAGCAGAAGTTGAAGAAATGGATAGAAAGAGCTGCAGAGCGTGAAAAAGAGAAAATAGCTAAGAGGTAGGAGGAAGTATGTGTAGTATATTTTTTGCTATCTTGTGATCTACGCATATCTTCAGGAATGCAAAGTACGAAAAACTCAAGTCTGGTCCGCCTAAACACATGTTCAATGATCCCGATTATATTCGTCAAAAAGAAACCATCATAGAAAAAACGGAGGAAGCTTTTGAACAAGGTAATACTCTTATATGAGTAGGATTTAGCTTGTGGTAAGAATGATTGTTGCTTCATCTAGTTATAACTTTGGAGTTTCCATTCCATATGGAATTGTAATTTTTTTTATTACAGGTTTCGTTGAGTTTCTGAAAGAAGAACAGGAGAAAAAGAATAAACCCGTTGTTGAGTCTTCTTCGGATTCGGATTTCGATATTGACGATTTGCCTGGTGGCTTGAAGAGCGGTAGGAAAAGGAAGGCAGCGAAACCAGCACCTGTAATCTCGGAAAAACTTGCAAAGTTGTATGTCATCTTGTAATGTTTTCTAATGTATATGGTCGAATTTTCACAACTTCGCTTATCGCTCATATCAGTTCTTTAATTTCAGAGAAGAAGATGATGATTCCGATTCCGATTCTGAAGAAAATGACGTTGATCCTGAATTGTTGAATGAAATTAGAGAATACTTTTCTGCCCGAGATTCCAAGCTTGGCTCCGCAGATGCTAATCAGCCTTGCAGCTCCAAGAGATATTCGGTAAGAGTACATGTCTGTAACAGCGATGACGATTTGCTCAAGTTCCCTTATTTGTTTCAGGGTGATATACAGATAAGTGAAACTAATGGTGAGGTTCCACCGAAAGAAGTAGAAACTCCCGCAGGCGACTCTGCAAAAGTGGACTCAAAAGGTGTGCCACTATAGGGCAACTTGTAACTGGGAGATAACACAACACATCGCTATGAGCGTTTATTGTGAGACTGAGGAAGCTTACAACAGAAGAGCCCCGTTGACCCCCGAACCCGCCCGCTTTACTGCGGGATGATTAATGTATAGGTCGGTTCGGCCACAATACGTAGCAAATGGCCGAACACTCCGCATCTAATTTATTGATCTTACGGGCCTCTTCGTGACTTCGTAGCAGTTGGTTTATTAATAACTGCAGCGAATCCTTGCTGATTTGGAGGGTATTTATGGCATCCTTTATGCTGTTGATTGTTTCGCGGCACGCTTCATAGTTCTCTTCGAATGAAGCGTTTAGTTGCAATTCCTTGGTATATATTGTGAATTTATCCACAAATCCTTGAAGGTATTGTATGCCGCGAGCAATCGTTTTTTTATGATAAGATATCGACATTGCACAAGGCGTTGTCGTAGTTCAATTCCACAATGGGTAGAACTATTAATGCGCTGCTTACCGCAGGGCTAGATAGTGGCTCAGTAGTTTGGCCGATGCACCAGAATTGTGCCACTATAGGGCAACTTGTAACTGGGAGATAACACAACACATCGCTATGAGCGTTTATTGTGAGACTGAGGAAGCTTACAACAGAAGAGCCCCGTTGACCCCCGAACCCGCCCGCTTTACTGCGGGATGATTAATGTATAGGTCGGTTCGGCCACAATACGTAGCAAATGGCCGAACAAAAGGGAGTCCTCCTTCAGGAACTCCACCTGCGCCTCAACATAGTGGGTCAGCTGAAATTTCAACGAGTAAGCAATCGGAAGAGGAGAATGCAACTGATAGGAACGAAACAACTGCAGAAAAGCCCGAGGATGCAGATCTCAAGGTTTTGAACAAGGAAGAGCAGGAGGAAGAGTTTGCCGAAATTGATCTCACGAAGTACGCAAGTGCATCAGAGTTGGAAGCATTGGGCTTGCAGCATCTCAAACATGCCCTTAGAGGTGGGTTATATCATTGAGTCAAATGGAACCTTGTTAGCATGTGTTTTTATTCTTTATGCGAATGTCTTGCATTTCAGCTCGTGGAATGAAGTGTGGAGGCACTTTGACTGAGAGAGCCGTTCGGCTTTTTTCCGCGAAGGGTACGAATCTGTGATTGTTCATATTGCTTTTTTGGGATGGAAATAAAGTCTGATTTCGATTTATTGTTCTGATTTTTCATTGTGGTTTGCACCTGGGACTACTTATTGCATAATATGAAGTAACGTATTCCTCAGCACCTCTCCTCTTCCACTCATACATTTAGATATGGTCACGGTTAAGAGGTTGAACAAAAAGAAGAATTTGTCTAATAAGAAGGTAAACTTATCCAACAAACTCTTTCTTTATCGCATCTTTCTTCCGGTTCTCAACTTGACGAGGTATCATTTACTTCTTACGATCGATTAGGCAGCGCTTTAAGGCAGTATGGCAGCAATGTCAGTGTGGTGAGATGGAGTAGATTATCCTATACAAGTCGAAATGCTCCGCCCAATCGTTCGCTGGAGGAGATGATAGTTACGTCAAGTATAGACTCACTAATTTTTGCATTTCCTTGGCTAAATGCTGATGAAGCGGTCAACTACCCAAATAATAACAATTTAAAAAATACAAGTAAAATCAAACTAAATAGCCAAATTTTCAAAAATTTTTGAAAATTCAAAGTAGCCGAAAAATATTTTTCCTGGGGCGTGACTGCCGCCACGCACCTTCATTCGAAAAAAAAATTCTTTTGCGCTCTCCCCCACGGAAATCCTGGGATGCCACTGATACCATCAAAACAGCAAAATTTAGGGACTAGCTCTAGCGTAATCAACTCTAGATTTGGCAACACATTAAATCACCAGTTCATTTAATTCTTTGGAGTTACTCTGATTGAAGGGCACTAACTGTGCAAAAATAGCTTGCGGTGCTAACAAGGAAAAGATACTTGGTGGCCATTGGTTGCGATGTATACCGTAAAGTGCACCTCGAAACGCTGATTCTGAATCTGTGCTCGAAATCTGCGAAACAATCATATGAAGGCCGTTATGAACTTTTTTTCGTAAAAAATTAGCGTACTTATAGGTAGCTAAAATCACCCAATTTGGTCTATTTTGTAGTTTGAAGCTATTGAGGAGAATCTCGAAAGGTGTACGTTGTATTCATACCTATCTAAATTATATTCAGCATTTAAAGAGAAAAGAAAAGTTTTTATCAATGATTTTCACCCTCCGCAGTAGGGCAATTTATTCTTGAAAAAATAATTATGACTCCAACCAGTTCTCGTCTCGCAGATATGAAAAACAGTATTCGAACCAGCATTAAAAGGCATTTTTTGATATGCGAACCATTATGAATGGCCGGGGTCACCAAGTATCCTTCCCTGTTAAGGTGTAAAATGCTGCGGTTATCTACCGAGAAACGATTTTTGCAACAAAGGGCAGATAGCTTTAATTTATTTTGAACTTTTTTATAGTTCAGTCACGTAGGGTTTGATTAGAAATATATAATAATGTCGGGTATCATTTTCTCTTTGCACATTTTCAGTAAAATTTGCTGAATTTTTTTTTTCATGGGTTGGCTATCACTTCCAACATTTATGCTTTCTAGAAGATTCACACTATCACCACAGCTCCAGTCAGTAAAACTAAAAAGGAGGAGAGCGATGAAAAAAAATTAGAAGGCGAAGGATCGACCAGCGTACCAATCGAGGATGTTGCAAAGAAGATACAGGAAACAAAAGATCAGGTTAATATTTCGCTCTTGGAATAATGAGGTTTTTGTGTGCAGTATGCTTCAGTCGGTTGTGGTCTATGTAATTTTTATGGTCTGTTTCCAATTAAAATATAACCGAATTTTCTACTTTCCATTGTCATATCTTTGAAAATTCGAAAGTAAGGGGTCAGAGTGATGAAAAGTTTGCTTTCTACTGACTACTTAGTGTACCGGAACCGCCCTTTAGAACACGATCAGAACAATTCTTAAGGGCCGTGTTGCTCTCACAGCACTGAGGAAACATCTCGCTAACCATAGCGGGAAGTCCTTATTTCCGGATATCGATCATGCTGTCGGAATATTGATAGTGTATAAAGTTCCTCCTCTAACAACGAACAAGGCTCGACTGAGAATGTGAGTTTGTCGTTCAACGAATTTTGGATACGGCTTGGATTTCTTTTCGAACCGTATTCGAATGTTTTTGCTTCATATGTTGCAATATAAGCGTTTTTTTTAGCGAGTTATCTCATTCTCCTCGAACAACTTCGAATACATCAATCTGTTTGATCATGCCGGATTTGGATCAATCTGCAACTGCAAGGGTAGGCGCTTGCGGCAGCTTGTCTGTAATGTTTCTATTGTGTTTTAGAAAGATCCCGATGTGGAAAAGCAGGCGCGGCAGTGGGCAGAGAAGATTGAGAAGGATCACGGGCTTTTGAGCCAGCACTACTCTAAGGTATCTTTGTGACAATGGCTAGTCTGTATACATCGAGATAAAACCGGCATATGCTCAGTCTTTGTGTCTGTGTGTCAATCTTTTCAGCATATAAATATCTTTTGTTCAGATCATGACGAAAAGGCAGTTGGAGAGAGAATGTCACTCCTACACGCAGCGACGTGCTCTTGCTACGTCTTACGATCTTTTCTTGGTGGATGTGCGAGTAGCCAAGGCAGTGCGGACATTTTTAGGGAAGGATTTTTACAAGGTCCACAAGTGAGTGTTTTGCATCGAACGATACATAACCTTATTTCTCAACTGGTCCCCATTTTTTTTCTTACTGGAGTTTTGAAATCTTGCGTTCTTTGTGCGATAGATGGGGCTGGTTAATCGATGGCATCGGTATTAGTGGACCACTCTTTTTATTCTTCGGATGGCGATCATTATCCATTGACAAGTTTCAGTACTAATAGCTTTTTTTTTACTGACAGGCTGTTGTCGCGAATATGGCGAGATAACTTATTAGGAGCTGAGGTTAGGATCACTCTAATCCATTCTTCTAAATCTCAGTTCGGTTCACGATTGTAGGGGCTCGCTATGTTGCTCCAGTGCTCCAGTATAGTATGGTATCCAGCGTAATGACGATAAAGCAACGTTTTTTTTTCTAACTGCTTTTTACTTTTTAGAACCTTTCACTTTGAAATACTTCCAGTGTTATTGATTTCAACAATGTTGTGAATTCCTCAATAATCGCTTATTTGAAGCAATCTGATGCATCGCAACATTGCCATAAAGCATAATATTGTGTTAGCTCTCGAGAGAAAATAACCATTATCACGCAATGTAATCTTGCATTTTTTTCCAGAGAGCCGATTGATTTTGATTATTCGAAGCCACTGGTTACGTCAATAGAGAAGGCTGTTAAGACTGTTTTGCTGAGATTACCTCGATATGCTACCAGAGCGTGAGTGTGCTTGAAGTGACGAAACATTTCTCAAAATTTTTGTTTCAAGTCATGTATCGTTTGGCCATCTTGGGCAAGATTCGGCGGATCTTGCTGGTAATCTTGATGAGGTACTAACGTAAGCCTGTTTTACTGTCCAATGTCTAATATAATATACAAAAATTAAGGTTATTGACGCCGTCGTGAGTAATTGTCCTGGAGGTTTGTCCAATATACGATCGTTACATATGCAACCTGTTGGTGGAACACCCTCTTTACCCATCTACGTTGACAACGGTAACTTCTATGTCATCAGTGAATTTTATTTGCTGCTCCTTTCTGCTTTTATGGTAATTTAAATTTTGTTGTTAAATGCAGGCAGGTCATCTGACGTGAAACTTGAACGACCAAGAAAACGCAGAAGAGCTACTGAGCAGGTGTCCGACGAGTGTTCCACGCTTCCCGATGGACTCAGGGTATATACAATCTTATTGCGTTTAGCGATTTACATCTATCTGCGGAATTTTCCATCAACGTCCTCCCATTTCCTTTCATTTCACGTTTCAATATATTACAGTTGGCGATTCGAAGAAATGGTAAAGTTCGTGTTATCAAGGAGGATAGTAATGTAGCTGTTCATTACCCAACTAGTGAGCGAAAAATGTTCTTTTTCTTCTATCGCTTCACGATTACCACTTTGTAGTTCATGACGAGTGGGAGGAAAGAGATGGATTGAAACCCACAATCGATCCCGGCAAGCTGAAACGAAAACATGCAATCAAAAAGAAGCGAATGGTAAGTGTTGGGTTCTTTGGTTGAGTTTTTACTGATCTAGTATTGAAACGACCTGATTCTTCACCACGCTCTGATTTAGCAAAAGCGTATGGCACAGAAAAAGATCAAGTCAGGCGAAAGAGTTGCCTTACAACAAGAAGCTGAAACAAAGATGGAATAGATGATCATAGTTTCAACTTGTATATTTACCTTCATTTTTCTTGTTATCGTTGGCTTTTGTTGAAAATTAGACATTGTTTGTTTTGTTGTCAATTGTCTTATTACTGTTACCCCACTCTTGCTTGTTGATCATTTATTTTGAATGAATTATCACCTGTTGGATCTGTCGTAATTACAGGGGATTCACCCTTTTCATGCACTTGTCAAAGCTAGCCCATTATCTCCTTTTCTGTGTCCAGTTTTTGCAGGATGTCTATGCCTTGGTATTACCTCGAAAAACCAACACGAGTAATTTTGTTAAGGTTCGACCCTCTTCGAGATTGTTTCGTAAGAGCAGACTTATTCAGCAGTTTTTCAGGTGTTACTATGCAGTGTGCGCTTTCACTTACCCTGCTTTCGTTGCTCTGAATTGGAAAAGTTACGTACCTTCGAGGGCTGAGGTCGGTCAAATCCATTTGCACGCAGCAGAATTTGTAAATAGTTTCTGCAACTTTAATCTCTAGGTGCTGGCAGGAAAATCACTCAGGGAGGAAATCCTCAATCCACTGAATATAAAAAAATGAGTGGTCTGTTCAAAGCAGATAGAGTTGTACAGTACTGTCTGTTTTAAGTGTTTGTTGCGTTTTAATCGTCACTTTGACAATTTGACCATTTCTGACAAACATTTTCATTTTGCAATAGTTTGCTATAGGGGTTATAACATGATGAGTTGAAGTGGTCTGATGAAAAACCACTGTACTGGAATAAATCTCCTTTATGATGTCTTCTTTGGGTGTGTAGGATACGCCTGCGATCTGAGAAAATCACCATCAAATACAGAATGTTCAAAAAGACTGTCAGTAGAAGACAAAGTCTAGTTGGGGTTCCGCTTTTTCCTTATTTCAAAGCGTATTCGAGTATATTTGCAAACGCTTGTAGATTTGCCTTCCAAATATCTCCATATCTGGGCTGTGTCAGCCTAGCGATCTGGTGATAGCTCTTTCTCGCACCAAGCGTAGAATCAGGTGTCAAAGAGAAAATAGTTATTAAACACTTGCACTGATGTGGACTGTAGGACTTGAATGTTCATGTAATCGCGTATTTAAATGAATGAACTTTTTTTTTCTCTACAAATATTCGAATAATTTACTCACAGCATGGAAATATTGCATTTGAATAAGGGTCCGGCGCAATTGTATGGAAGCAGGTCGGGATTGGGGCGAAACAAAGGAGATATCGCTTTTGTGGCCAAAAATTGACTTTCTTTATGATCGACTTTTCGTTTCTGAGAATTTTTTTACTTTAAGGCTGAGAGTCAAAGGGGACGTCGTGAAATTTTGCCAAAGTCAAAGGGGACTTCGTGAAATTTTGCCAAAATCAAGGGGGACTTCGTTTTCAAGAAGCCTAGAAACGAACTCATGCAGAGCCCTGATTTGAATAGTGTGAGATTACCAAAACTCGATTTCTGTTTCAAACCTTGAAAGAAAAGACGTACCTGAAAGAAATGGCGATCAAGATATTTTATCGGGGGCGGAGGATGTTTTGAATTAAGGGGCGCGTAGCGGACCTTTAGCCATGCAATGGGTCACTGGAGGCTGAAACTCATCTTGATCATCCAAAAGTGATAACAAGCCCCTTGCGCTATTCTATAACTTATGTAGAACACTTTCACAAACTTCTCGACGCATTATCTGAAGGGGGTCGCCTCTTCTCCCTCCCCCCCCCCCCTTCCCTCTGTCCGTCACTGCATGAGAGACCAGATTCAACTATGTAAAGGGAAACAAATTTTGTCCCAAATACCAGTTTACAATCAGTCAGCTCTTGCGAGAAACGGGAGTTACTCTGGAGTCGATGGATTTCTTCAGTTCCTCGATGACTGAGTTTGTTTGTGACCTATGCAATTTCGCCTAAACGCGCAAGTCTTAAAGAACCTTCCCTTGAGAGCTTTCAAATATCTGAAATAGCTGAAGTTGTGGATTCGTTCGACGACTTTCTAATTTCCAAGAATTTCTTCAGAAATGCTCATGGATCTGGAGGTGTTTGAGATAAAATTGTCCTCAAGTATTTTATTAGAAAGATAATCTTCCATGTTTCATAACATCGCAACATACAATATGACTAGAAATGTTACTAATGCTGTGCAAAAAGTACTTCGAACGGAGTTGCACATATCTGACGAACAACAGCAAACGTTGTACGTTTCCGAGTCGATCACTGCCATGTAGCAGCCTTCTTTCTGAAACAAAGATATTTGAACTTAATGGAAAACACCTAACTTAGGGTGGCAACAGAATACGAGTCATACATCACTGCACGAGTCTTTGAACGCTGATTCGAAATCTTCTTCTCCTTGTATTGCAACTCTCCGAGAAAGTCCGAATTTGTCAAGTATCGAGTAGCACAAAATTAGCGAAAAACTTTGCTACACATGGAAGTGGCTAATCAGTAGGCCCTATGAAAATGTTCAGATATGCTTTGCAAATTATGAAAAAAAATTCCTTACAGATCCAATTTGAGTATTTGGAATAATCTTGTGAGATTTCATTATTTACACGTAAAAAAACTGGTAACACAGTTGCACGACTTATGTACGGTGCTTTCAAGAAGTTCACCACTCATCCACTAGGAGGAAAGGCAAAAGTATACATTTTATGTGACTCCACTCGTAAGGAAGATAAATGGCATTACGGAAACGCTTATTAAGGTGATCCTCATACGGTAATCCATGATACCATAAATCATTAATATTCACAATCTTGACATCAACCCGACACTATGCAACGGAAAACGCAAATGGGAGTTAGTTTAGTCTTCCCTTTTATCTCTTCCTCCTCCCACGCAATGTGTTGCAAAGAGCTTAAAGTCAGAAACCCTACCGTGCACGGAACTCCATCAAAGCGGTCTTGTATTTGTATGGGATCACATCCTCGCATCTCTATTTCAGTCTCCGAATTGGTGGACACTGTAAGTTAGTAAAGTAGGTGAATTCTTTGCTCAATAATTACAAATTAAATTTATGAAGAAGCCTCCTTAGTGCGGAAAACGTTAGCGTAGAAAGAAAGTAGAAATTGTAGCAGAAATTCCAGTATCCATTCTCACCCCGTAATCGCTCATTTACTTCGTGGTACTAGTGATGGTGATAGCCGAGCTTTATAACTTCGATATTTTGAGGATTTCGCAGTGTTTGGTGCAATTATGTGTCACGCGACTTTTTCAAAATTCAATGCTGTAGTAAAATAATTCAGCAAGATTCTAAGGAGGAAGCTAAAAAAAATGCAAAAAAACTGCTTCAATTTGAAAAAGGTTTGCCTTATCAGATGATTATAGGAGCACCTTCAAAAGTCTATAATGAAAATTCTGAAAAGCGAAAGCTAGACATGGTAAAAATCAAGTGTTCTAGTTTTCGGCCACTCAGCGCTCGTCCAAATAACCCTTCGTAGACGTAAATGCTGAAAAGAGGAAGAAATTCTGCATCGGATAGTGTTTGAAGTATCTGTCTTTCATCATCTTGAACGATTTTAGAATAAGTATAAAAAACGGCACGAACTTTCGCCCCCCCCCCTGATATATTGTTGCTGTATTTTTTCCTTCGATAGAAATCAATAAAACGAAAATATTCTTGTTTTTGCCAAAGTGATGCTGTGCTGTTCCCACATAATTGTATACTACAAAACAATAAAGTACAGACATGGATTTCCGGCGCTCTACAGGTTTTGGCCTCGAGAAATATCCGTTTTAGTATGGGACACCCGACTGAGCGAAGCTAATTTCAAGCTAGTTTCTCGAGAACTTGAGCCTGTAGAGCGCTGAAAATTCATTTACTTGTACTTGCCTGTAGTATACAATTACAATGTGGGAAAAGCACAGCATCACTTTGGCGAAAACATAAAAATTTTCGTTTTCTTGGTTTCTATCCCAAGAAATAAATACAGCAACAGTATCAATTAATGTCTGATATGGGTAGGATGTGAATAGAGTATCAGTGAGCAAATTAGGAATTTTCTGAATTTCTGGAAGGAGTTACGATTTTCTTTATTTCTCGGGCGGTTGGATCATTTTGTTTTTGGCATCCAACTCGAAATTTTGAACTAGTGTCAAAGCAAGAACTTCTTCTCGTAGAGTTTGCTTTGCTCCATCAAACGGTACCTTGAAATCTATCTAGAATCAAGAAGTTCATGAGTTATTGCGATTGAAATTAAAACGGACGGAACTTATGGAACAACCTGATGATACGGAAATTGAAGGCTGCAAATTTTCGTTTGACAATCATTTAAACATGATAGCGTTATTGAGGAAGTTCATTTATGAAAAAATAAGAATGCTGAAATGCATTGCATCATCATATCAAACATATACGGGATCTTACTAATCGATAAATAAACATACTGTAGTGTGCAGTAATCTTCTGGCAGTACCTAATGATCCCACCACATTCGACAACCCTTTGTGATTGGTCATATACGTTGCCATCCATGACTCCTGTAAATCCGTCAGTATGTAGACTGAGAAACGATTAAAACCGTTTTAGCTTCACCTTGAACTTCATCAAAGCATGTAAGGAACGGAACATAATCTGATGATTTCGCAGTAGCATTCGCTCTACCAGAGAGATCGTCTGCACTGAATAGAATTGACGCAACAGCCATAAAAACCTGCATATCTGGAAGAAACGAAATTTGTAGAACTCTAGCCAGAGATGCACAGTTCAGTGATTCAAATCATTTTATAAGGTTGATGCATGATTGTTGCACCAAAAACTTTGTATTTCTATTATTTCATCCAGCTTTGATGAAATCTTCAGGTTTGATGCATAGTAGCGAGGGTTCGAGGCAAAATTCCTTGAGGGCAATGGTAACGACACAAAGGATAAGAGAAATACCTAAAAAGTAGTCTTCGATTTCTAGTCACTGAAAGTTAAAATGTTTACTCGAATTTAACTCTATTTTTGTTCCAAGTTTTATGACATGCTCTTTCCAACTAAGAGAAGTTGATTGGATGTCTCTGCGAATAGTTACAAATTTCGATTTTTTTTGACTGACTTATCGATTTTGTTCCATATTGATTTTCTAGTATGTACTATGAAACTATACTACTCTGCTTTTATATGCATAAAAAAGGATGTCATGTACGTTGAATGGTTTGTTCAAGCATTTTTAAAATAATTTTTTTCTATTTTTTTGGTGCAAGTGTGCATTAACTTAATACATTGTTCTTGTGTTGCCAATATTTGTATCACAAAAATGAGATAGGAAATTCGGTTGTGGCTCGGATTTTGCCATTTTTTCTAAGTGCTGTCGGCATCAAGGAACATTACAAGCCTTCTAAACTGCTCTAAGACAAGGACTATTTCAATAATGTATGAGCTAAGAAACGGAAGCATTCTGCGTTAAGTGACGAAAAAATTAGCGAAGCTGTTGTCATCCAAGCTAATGCGTATTCGGCGACTCATAAAAGTTGATAAGGCAAACTCCCATCGCAGTTTATTTATGGGACATTAGTTCACAGGTGCACATGAGAGTGTTTCGCTACCGATACAGATAAGCTAAAAAGTGTGTTCATCAGTTCCAATTTTGTTTAACCAGTTTTAGCGGATATGCTAAGTTGCTATGATTGCTGCGAAAAGTAGAAGGTATAGAAGGTATTCACTGTTTTGCAAAAAAAACCCTATTGCCTTTGATAACTTTTTTTTCAATTTCTCTGCTCACTTCAAGCGTAGTATAATGAAGCCACTTTCGAAACATACTTTGCATACCTTGTACTATTTCATGAGCACAAAGTATTAGAACTATCTACGATAACTTGAATAATTTGTGCTGCCAGTAGTCACTACTGATTATAGACACTGAAGGCTACAATAAAGCCCTTGTTCAAGATGAGCCAAAATTTCACCTACTCGCGACTCCGCCGTGGAATCGCGCAGTTTTGATATGTTACAGGATGTGAATTCTAAAGGTAACCCATTTCTTTCTACCCTTTTCTATGGTCGCGCTGGTTCTTTTAACTATTTCATGGACCGGGCATACTTCACGCGATTTGGCAGTATTCCACTGTTCATAACTCACTGTAAATACCTTATAAATGTACAGAAGATAGGTCATTTTATCAAGCCACGTAAGGTATACACACTATGCATGTGCAGTCTGCTAGTGTTGGATCTGGAAACTTCTGGCGATTTGCCAAATCGCGTCGCGGATGAAATCGTGTGATCTATGCCCGACTCTTCAGACAAGAGTTTCGGAAATTCTGATCGCCTATCTTATTCTCATCTGACAAAGTATCTATAGAGCATGATGAGGCAGCATGAGTCTTTGTCTTCGCGATTGTATATGAGGCGTGCGTCTTCAAAATTTTGATTTGTATATAAAATCATGTAGTCTTAGCAAAACTCTGAACATGACTCTCTATATTTATATCAGTCTAAAATTCTTGAAGGACACTCTCTTCTCAGTGGTTTGACGTTATCGACCAGCTCTCATTTTTTGTACGATTTCATAGTTTCGGTCTTGCTTTCAAGCAGCGTCCACCCAAATCCTCCACTTCCATGTTATTGCCGTCCCGGGCCTTCCATGTTCCTTTCCGAATATCAAGTCGAGAATCAGCGAAAATTTCGGAAATCTCCGTTCCGCGGAACCCGCAGGGCAAGTTCTGCGGAACGGTGATTGGTTGGGTGCCACGGATGGGCGGAAGGAACGTCACTCCCATTTAAAGGGGAGGAGCCAACCCAACGTGGCGAATCCTCAATCCGAAGCGATTTTCAAGGCGTATTGCTTCGAAAGCAGTACTGGCAGCGAGAGTTGGGCAAGTGTACAGATGGGCTCCCCGCGACCGTTAGGCATCAAAATCTCAACAGCCCATTTTGGGTTGACGGTGCCTTTAAGTTAGCAACTATAGCGAGCCTTCTGAATCCTTTTCGGCAAGGTCCAAGAGTTATCATTTTTTTCTCAAACTCGAAATTTTTCAAGACTTTTTGAATGGTACACACGAAGTCTATATTATTGCACTTCATGCCAAATATTTCATATATGGATGATCCTCGGGTTTTCAAAAAGAAAAAAAAATAAATTCTGCCACCTTTCTCCGAAAAAGCAATTTACAAATTAGAAGATTACTTTCAAAGCGGCGTGAGCGGTGTCCACAGCTTCTTGCGGATTTCATGTGTAGTGTGGTAGTTCATTACTAGGATTATGCGAAAGCTCACAATGGGCTCTTACTTTACTTTTCTATTGAAATTTTTTATCTAGAAATGTAAGATAAAAATTCAGAAAGGGCAATGGTGTTAACAAAATCGGTTGATGTACCAGTCCGAATGCGGGTGAGTGACTTTTCATACGATGAGCAATTCCGAGGTGTGAGGTGTGAACACCACGGCCAGGTGTGAAGGTTCCTTCGGCGTCTAGTATACTGTAGGAGGTAAGATCTGGGGAGGGGGGGGGGGGGGGTGGTAGAGGGACTTTTCATACGATTGCTTCCAAATTACTTACCTTTTGGCAGCGATTCAATAGGTTTGGCACTACGCCAGATTTGGCCCTTCTGGCTCCACACCAAAGAACGAAGCATCTAGAATAGCTTATGTATCATAGCGAAATCAGAAAAAGAGCAATTTGAAGGCTACACGAAATAAGCTTTACTCTGAAAAATAACATTGTAGTTGCAGGGTCCGGTCTTCCCTACCCAACCCCCAATTTAAACGTGAAATCCATCTTACATTAATCTCAGAGTGAGAAATATTCCGAAACCAAACTCATTGCATTTACCAGCTAAAACTGAAAGCAAAATTCTTGCAGAAACTGAGTCACTAACAAATTCTTCTTACAGAGTTTTTACTACTCTTGGACCTAATCGTTTTTTTGCGAAAAAGTGTTACATGCTGTCCATCCAACTTTTTAGCATAACCTGGAAGTGTGACTTCCCCATATGGGTTGAGAAAATATCACACTTGGAACGGACTTCATTATCTGGCTTCAAATTGTTTACAAAAATGACTGCGCTGTGGCCTAGCGGCCTTTACTATGATCCCTTCAAAGCTAAAGCGTAATCAAGTAAAGAAGTTCTGCGATGGCCGGAAGTGCCCAGTAGAAGTATTTGCAATACTGCTCAAAAGAAGATTAAAAAATTGTAGATAATATACAGAATGTCCCAAAAAGATGCGCACACTGTTTGATCGTTAATAACTCTCCTTCTTTCGTGTCTTCTGTCCAGTTTGATGTACCATTCTAAAAAGCGAGGTCCAACTTAGACCAGTATGGAGCAAATTACCAGTCACTTCTCATTACTGTAGGATCACGGTATGAACTTTCAGCATACAGCGTCACTGTGGAATGATTTTGATAAAGTAATTTCCAAAAAAATCTAAAAATTCGTGTAGCAAGGTTTTCAGGCGTGCTGATTTCACTACATAACTTTCCACCAGTTTTTCGAACCTTCTTGATTGCGTATTAACATTTCTGACGAAGATTTGAAAATCAGTTGTTACCCTCAATCTGAAATAACTCATGAGAGAGACACTATCCTGACATGCAATTTTCATATTTAGAACCAGCGACTTCGACTAGTCCATTTCAAGAATTTCTGGCTTGTTTGGTTTTCCCTATGAAGCAGACGTCGCTTTCACTTTCCTAGAATGCTTTTCGAAGTTCCCACCGTAATCCTACAGTAATGAAGAGAGGCTGATAAATCGCTCCATACTGTAAATCTAAGTTTGACCTCGCTCTAAGGAATGGTACCTCAAGCTCGGCAAAAGACATGAAAGCAAAAGAGTTATTAACAATCAAACAGTGTGTACACCTTTTTGGGACACCCTGTATGTCTTACAAATATATTGTACATTTCCGATGATTAAGATTTTTCTGTCCCTTGTAATCGATGAGTGGTTTTATCACTAGCATCCCGGCATAGCGCCGAAAGCTTAAGATGATCCATCGTATAAAAGTCCCCTCCACCCCCCCCCCCCTCCATCCGTAGTGGAGAATCTTACTCACTGCGTGGTCGAGGAGTGGTAGGTGTGAGGTAGGTGCGAAGACCAGATGCGAAGTCCTCGATCGTACGAAAACTCCCCCCCCCCCCCCCCGCCCGAATGCCGTGCGTGCTGGAAGAACAGCTACTGTCAGCAAGACAAGACTTAATTTTTTTTGGGAACATAACAATGCACGGTGAAGCCTTATTTTTACAGCTTCAACATAACAGCTTGCATTCATTATTAGGTGTATGAATGGTAGGGACCAAACGCCCAGTTGTGGATTAAGATCAGCCCTTACTTCTTCCTCGGTTTTTTTTTTGGCGAGTTACACTTAATTAACTTTCCATAGGAAGTATTCCATGGTCCTTTCCTCTTTGGTCTGCAGCATTTCTTTCGTTTCCGTTCTCAAGTTGCTTCACACAAAGTCACAGCTCCAAGGCAAATTTTCGGAATGGCCACTGTTAAAATTCTTCCTTCGCTTCAAGTTTATATCACTTAAAAAAGTCTGACAGGCCACATTGATCAAGCCTGGTTTGACAATTTCGGTCACTTGTAAGTGAAAACTGAAAATTAAATAGTTGCTGAACTTCTTTACATTATTCAACACTGCAAGGTTCTGGAAGCAAAGGAGCAAATCAGCCATTTGATAGCAACTACAGCTCAGTCTGGCCAGAAAACCTTCTATTTACTCAAGTAGTACTTACCGAGTTCTCACAAATCCTTGACTCACCTATCCACCAAATTTTGATTTGAAAAAATCATCAAAGCTTTATTACAATAAAACATCTGTATAAATCGCTTCAAGTGTAGTTGATAGTTCTGGACAACAGTAATTTCACACAACAATATCAAACACGCAAGGCAGTCACCATAAAACTTTCTTCTATTAGAACACTGGGACATAATAGAACACATAATTTTGTACCGGTAACAATGAGAACCACAAAGAAAGAGGAGGATGATCGCAATCGTCAGCAGTTATGCACGGTTATTCAGTAAATTTAGTGCAGAATGAGCCTGGAAATGTGACAGTTTGCAATAGAACGACGACGCAGAGCTAAAGGTACAGTATACCTGAGCTTGGACTAGTTGTTGTAGGAGGAACAGCTGAAGGTCAGAAGAGGGGAACGGAAACGGCAATTTCGTTGTTGGATTGACAAATCTGGATTTGACGAAGTTGAATGTCATACTTATGCGTACATACTAGTATACAAGAGGTGAGACATTGTGTCTGCGGTGCCGACATCTGTTACAACATTTGCGCGTAAAGAATTTTTCAGGAGGTCAAATCTTGAAAATGCAAGCTCTTGTGGCAATTTATTCACGCGCAAAGTTGTCGCCAAATGTGCCCACCGTAAAGACACTATATTGACGTTGGATTTAATAGCCTATATGTTTAGTAACCTACGCATTTCTCCATGACAGGTCAAGTGGGCCACTCGTCTGGTCTACGGTGTCTTCCGCTCTTCTTTTGCCAAGAATTGATGTCGATGATTCCGCCTAAATTGGTGGAAAATGTATGCGGAAGAGATAAGATAAAAAGAGTACCTTGTCAGATTCCTTTCCACTGCTGTTTGCAGAGACGCTTTCCACTACTTTTGGCGGTAACTGAATAGGGACAGGCAAACTGACAGCAGCAGTCGACGAAGGTAGACAGGCTGTCTGAAATTTTACAATTGAATACAAAGCTGATAAAGTGATATGATCTGCTTCTTAGCAGGAATGCTGCTGACTTGAAGAGTTCTTTGCCTAAGCTTTGATTACAATAGTCTGGAATATTAGCACATGCCTTTTCACTTAGACAATCGCGAATGAACTTCCGGGGCAAACTGAGCTTCTAAGACTTCCGCGTAACACTCCAATAGGAGCTGCCAGTTAGGGAGGGGCCCACGCCACACGGTCCAATAGGAGCGTCCGCCCCGGAAGTCTTGAAAGCTCAGTTTGTCCCGGAAGTTTTGCAACTGTCTGAGCAGCTAAGCTATTTTATTTTTTTTTCTGCCATAGTACTTAAATGCCTTAAATCGTCTATTATTTGTAACTCATTGAAGATAGCACATTACGCGTGCTGCTAACGATTTGTAAGTTTAGACCGCTCATTTCCAGTGATTTTTTCTTTTCTAATCTCTTTTGAATGAATATGCCTTAGTCATCAGAACACATTTTTATAGTTTGTTCCGCTACAAAAGGTTTTACTTAGCTAGTAAAGTGTCGTCGGGTTGCCGCGCGCAGTGTGCAGGCTCACACGAATACTTAATAGACGACTCAAGCATAAATGCTCAGTGAAGCATCCAAGCGTGATGTGATGATCATAGAAGTCTGAGAAGAAATGAGTATTTCTAACGAATTTTGCAAAGTTTTAAAATAAATGTTCTCTTATATTACACCTATTGCATGAACTTGAGGATGTTTTTTTCCTCAAAGTTCTTCGAAAAACTTTGAATTGAGCATTCTTGAACGAATCGAAGAGTTTCGAGACTGCTAGGACGTCCACCAAACAAAGCTATATTGCATTCATTGCTTGCATTGAGACCCAATCATTTTCTCAAAATTATGTTTAGCTATCAGGGTCCATTGTTTTGAAACCAATCAAATGTACATATCGCTGTCAAATACTTTCATGGGAACGTTTCCTCCACAATATTCTCCCTTTTGATACGCCAGTTATTCGAATGTGCAACATGTTGCAAGTTTTGTTTCAGTCCAAAAGCTTCTTTTACTTCAAAGTCGAGAAGAGTTCCCCACGAGGCGAGTTTCTGCCACTTTCAAGGCTGCAGTACTCGGATTATACAAACTGTCACCTCAAGCAACGTACTGCTGAGGGGGATGCCTTACTCTAATAATAGAAATCATGTAACTTCAAAGAACTTTTCAACTACGAACACTCTCCCATCCTTTTCCCCTCTCCTTTTCGGAAGTGTTGCAAATTTTTGCGTATTGGGATTGAAAGAATATGCAAAAATTGCAAAAATTGCTTTACTAACCGAACACTAAATGGATTCTAAACTTGATTGATTGTATAAATTAATAATGTAGGGTTTTTTTTCGGTGGGCAACCGCCACGCCCATCCTATAAGTTAGGTCATAGGTCAGAAAAATTTTTGGAAAACATCTCAAAAATTTGCAGAGGGCGTAGCTAAGGCCACGCTCATGCAGAAAAATCATCCCGTATCCTCTCAAAAGAAAAGAATTTTGTTACGTCGTTCTTTCCTTTTTGTGGGGTGCGCAAAATTACACAAAGAAGCACAACGCTTGGTGTCTTTAATGAACGGTATACGAATGTACCCTTTGATTCAACTAGCTTGGCAGCTGGAAGGCGGGGCTTCGTGATTTAATTAAGGCCTAGGGCATACCTCCCGCGATTTCGCAAAATCGCTATCTTCATGCGGCTTGCTGATCTGCCAAATGTCTACAGATTAGCTATGCGCGGGTCTTAAATGCATGGGCGCGTAAACTCCACAAGTTGTAGCAAACGCAGCAAGTTTGACTCTAGCAAAGCGCGCTTAAGACCAATTATAAAGGGTCGTCGGAGAGCCAGATCGTGCAGCGACTGGAATCGCGAAAGGTATGCCTTAGGCCTGCGGCTAGGTAATGATCAGAGAGCATGCGCGCGGGAAAGAAGCAGAATGCGTCGCGGACGCAAGCGGCCTTAACTAGGTTACAAAGCCCCGCCTTCCAGACGCCAAGACAGTTGAATCAAAGGTTAAGCTATTTAGGATAGAAACCAAAAAGCGTCATTATAAAGGAGGGGTCTCCCTTTTGAGTTTTCATAAGTACTCCTAGCTGCTAAACACCATTACTTACCGCAGCTGCCATGGTCAGTGCTGCTGCATTGATGCCGACGTGCTCTCGAAACGATTGCGCCGCTTCCGGCATGTGCAACTTCGGATTAGTATTCGCAGAGTGGCGATTTCTCAAAGAAATACAATTTTCAGAATTTAACTGTGAAATTTGAGCTTTCTTACCTGCTTCTTCGACTGCTAAATTCTTTGCCGCAACCGGGTATGGTACACATGTGCATTTCTTTTAGATGGACAGCGCTAGTGTGAATTTTTAGCGCACCTTTGTCGCAAAACGACTTATTGCATCTCTCGCATAGTACGCGTTTCTTCAACTTGTTACTGCTAAGGGGTGACTGAAATTAAATTTGGGTGGAGAACATCAAGCGGCAAGGGTAGAAGGGTTACACACCTCGCTAAGTACACTTGAATCAGCAGATTGTGGTCTAGAAAGGATCTCACTAGTGGTAAGCGTTTGTGTAGGAGGAGTAGGAGGTGTCAATCCAGCTGAGGAGTTCACCTCCTCGGTTTTTACGGAAGGTGCTGAAAGGTCTTCTTCGACAGCAGTAGTGACGGAGGCTGAGTCAGTGGCTGATGTTTGGGGTTGTAGAGTAGCTGAAGATAGGATTTCGCAAAACGAAATTTTACGGACCCAAAGCCACCTGACGGAGGGAGAAATTGCTGCATAGCGTGTGGCATAGGTGGTAGCGCCAGAGGAAACCATGGCGGTAGCGGTGGCCGAAGCCCTTGTAGAAGGGGTACACACATCGGGAACTGTCCCAGTCTTTCCATCGTCAAAAGTTCGTCGGGAGCTGTCCAGGTGGATATCAGAGAGCCGTCACGGTTCTAGAATAGGATTAGACGTTCGGTCATGATATTGTGCAAAATTGACAAAAACGAGAGTGAAATAGAGTTTTCGTGATTTCGAAGTTACAGTAATCTAGCTGTAGTAAAGTGATAAATTCGATCTACACGAAGGCATTGGTTTTATAGTTCGAAAATTCTAACTGTTAGTATAATGCCTTTTTGCGGTGCTGAAAACAGCTAGGCGAAAATATTGCGTGCTTGTGATGCCGACAACAGTTGCGCGTAATAAAATGAACATGAGCCAACGACTGTATCCTTTGCGCGCCATGGCTGTCTTTTACGCGCAAGTGGTGTCACCACCGCAGAGGCACTATATTGAACGCCATAACAACTAGAATGTATATAAACAGCTATCGCCGAGTCATTTGTAACGTGATATGCGTATTGCACACCATGCTTTACTTGACGACTTGCAAGATTGGGATCTGCTCATTTCCAGTGATTTCTCCTTTCCTTGTTTCTTTTGGTTGTATCAAAGTAGCACACATTCCTGCGGATTGTCACCAGATGAGGTCTTACTGTAGAGTCTTTAGTAAAGTCGCTCGCTGAAGTGCAGTGTGTGCAAACTCACATATTTAGTTACAAACGACTCGATGGTATATACGACCCAAACAGAAAGAGCGCAAACGAGAGCTTTTTCAACTTGGATGCAAGCAGTGGCTAACCGAAAGAACGCCTATAAAGTTCATATGCTCGAGAATATGCTCTCGAGCGCGTATTTCAGACCAAAATTTGGAGGCGTTGAGATTTAAAGGGTCGCTCAATGAATGATGGCCGCATCGTCACCCTATATATTTCAGCTATGGCTGTCAATAGGCCACCCGTTCCGGAACGACACAGCGACTGAACACTTTGGATGAGTCCCCAAGGAGTCGCCTACACGATCCAGCTCTCGAGCTGTCTTCGCCGAGCGCCATCGCATAAGCGCCAATAAAGTTGCTGTTTGCTATCCAAGCAAACATTCAGGAGCTTTGGTGTCCCAAAAACTTTACAGAAATCGCTCACATGAGGAAAAGACTTCAAAATAAGTGCTGTTATGTCAATCAAGTACCAAAAGCTAACGAAAAGAGTAAGAACTACTACCTTGTTACTTTCTCTGGTAACTCTAAAAGGAACATAATTCATTCACCCTCTTTTCCCCCACCCTTTGACTAGGTCCTTACTGAGACTATCTTTTTTGTTATCATCCAGTAGTTCTACACATTGGACAATAGTAGCTCTCGTGAGTCTGGCAATGCACTGGCGCTTTAATAGATCAAATTGGCTTGAATTCTCCAGTTTTCGGTATGTCTCGTGCTTTGCAGAATCTGTCACAAAGTAGAGACCTTGCTTCTGAACTTATTAAGGTGTCTCATAATTTATTACCGTTTACATTCTAAACATCAGCATTTCTCGAGAACAGGGGCCTACAAAGTGTACAAATACATGATCGTACTTCAGTATGTATGAGCTATGAGATTACGTACGTGGGAGGAGCTCAAAACGTCTAGGAGTAAAGTTTGCCATTTTACTCCATTCAATTTTTTCTTCATTTCTAGTTTAGGAAATAAATATGGGAAGTGTACAAATGAGTTCCGATATGTCAAGCACATGCTAGAAAATAGGGAATTTTTAAGATTTTTTTGGGACGGAGATGCGATTCTTGACAGTAAAGTTCGTTTTCGAATGATATGAGATTTCAGTTCAAAACTTCACGTGGTAATTTGGACAGACTCTTGATAGCCTTCTTGTAGAGTTTGCTTTGCCCTGTCGAATGACTCAAGTCACATCAAATGAAGGAAGGATTCAAAAAGACGACGGTTGTGGTAAAAACGGTAAAAATAATACCCTAACACACTCTGATAGAATCTTTGGCACAAAAACTGCACTCAAACCAGAGCTTTCGAATTGTGAGATTTCGGTTTTTCTTTTGAATATGGATGATTCGAGGCGGGTAGAAATCTCATTTTACACGATTACTGCTTGAGGATTATTATTTAAAAAATGGCAGTGATATTCAACTGTTTGAAAGATTGCTGCGCTTGAATGTGACAATGAAGCAACACGGCAAATTAGCACACCAAGCGAATTTCTCTGGTTTTTTACACCACTATGTTATCTTCAGCATATATAATAACAAGTTTTTCGTAATAGATTTTGTACAAAGACTTTAAACTGGGCTGAAATTGACCCCGAGTTAATTTTTATGGGAACGAATACGGAAGAACTTAAACTGCATGAATGGCCAGCTAGTGTGAGGTTTGCGGTTCTGCAGTCAGAGCTTATTGTTGGTGATTTCAGTAAGAGGTTGAAATTTTGAGCGAACAAAATGTATCCTTAGTTTTGAACAGCGAGATCAAATAAGACCAGTGGTTTCTCGTAAAATGTTTTAGGAAGAAATCGTCGGTCATTTCATAGTGTTTCATGTTTTTGCGAAAGGAAAATTGCAACATTACGTCACTATCAAGATGTATTATTAAAATGTGATGAACTTCATAACCACTTCTGTGTAAATTGTAGATTGTTTATTCTACAGCTGAGACCAATAAATTTCACGGATAGGTGGCACATGTAGCTTCTACATCTCATAGCTGAGCCCCAATCGCCTCACATTTTCTTAGCTGTCACGTCGAAGCAATGGCTTATCTCCAGGCACACAGCACCGCGTGTGGCATATAATTAGCCGTGCTCGGGTTTTCTGAATTCGAAATGTGCCATGGGCCGTGGAATGAGGTGCAGTGTAAGGTCTCGGCTGAGATTGACGCTGTGTGACAAAATAATGGGAGGGCCGGTGAACTCGCGAATGCAATGCAGAGACGAGACGTAAGTGAGAGAGTACTGTAGCGATAATATCAGGTTTGCTGAGTTTGAGAATTGAGATTTGAGTAAGGTAGAAATTTTCTTTGAAAAAAGAAATTTTGTAACTTAGTCCTGATTCACACTATAATGTCATAACTACTACTTTCATTATGAAAATGACTACCTCATGAAACCTTGTGTCGAACTTGAGCGAAGTTTGCAGTGCACAGCAGCGGGGACGACGAGGATTACGGTAGGCGACACCGCTCACGAGCGAGGAGACCGTCAACAATGACTGACTGAGGTGAGGGGATGACAAGTTTCGCGCCACGTTGAGCGATAAGGAATGAACGTGAAGAATTCAGTCATGCCAAGCTTTGCTGTCATGTTTGGTCCTGCGACGGAAGCTGGGGCGGATAGGCACAGGTCGAGTTGAGTAGCAAGGTTCGCTAGAAGTGGAGGAAAGAGTCTAAAGTTAACGAAGATCACAAGAGTTTTTCCCAGTGTGTAGGTTCGGCTATCTTCACACAGGACACCGCAGTTATGCAACACACCGGTAGCAGCTTTTGCTATAGCATCGTGTTAGATAGGGCAGGGGAACGAACTCTGCCAATTTAACTGCCTCCGCAGACTACTGGTCCTGCAACGACATGCAACAATATAGCAAAAGGACCAGTTGCCACCGAAGGGGGCTCAAACTTGCGGAGTTCGTTCCCCAACCCTGTTAGATAATGATTAGTGCAAACGTAAATGAACATGCCGTGCAGCGACTCGTCCGGTTCTCCTCTCTTGCTCCGCCCCGCTCATAGCCTGGCCAATCGCAGGACTTGGTGACCAATCACGAGCGGGTTATGACAAGTGCGTTGTCGGCTGCGTGACAGGTTTAGAAGTCAGTCAGGGTGGCAGGTGCATACTGTCGTGCAAATGCCGTTTCCCATTAAACGATATAATACGGTAGCAAGAAGTTTCCACAATAAGTCAATGTCAAATTTCTACCACTAAATGCGCTTTTGGATGACAAGGATAGGCGGATAGGGGAAGAGGTTAGGGTAACCGAAATCTGCAAGATTTTGCGATTGAATATCGTCTGGAAAAGGACTGGTTACGGTAACATCGTATCCATCCATAGAACTACATCCATTTTGAGAGCGGAAAGTCTCAAGAGCGCTTTACACACTTCGCTTTACATGCTCAAACTTGTTCTTTCCTTCATTTGAAGTTTCAAGAAATCCTGAATCAAGCGATACGCAAGTATTAACTTGTAATCACATGCGCGCAGCGTTGTCGAGTAATCTAGTCTCAGAATAAATGATAATTTACTTTCTCCTTATAAACTAAACTTGGAAAAGCTACTATGCTTCTATGCGACAATAAAACGCCCACTCTACGCATTCGTCAAATTTCTTCATCGTCGTCGCCCACCCTTGTGTCATACGATGCGCTTTGTTTCAATGCCTAATGGGCTAGTATAAATTCAAGCCAAGATATCCTCGATGAATCAATGGACAGTCACTCGCATACTTCCTGATTTATGAATTAGTTTGTTTTCGAACGACGGTAGCAACTACTGACTTTTTCTAAATGTCGTGGGTGTGATGAATTTTTTGAGCTGTGTCATTTGTCCACGTTCACTTTTTAGTGTAAAGCCGTGTAAGCTTTTCGAAGAAAGTAATGGGTGGTTATGAGGACACAAGAAACTTTTGATTATTAGTTCCTTACATTCAGAGGTTTTTCTTTCGAAAAAGCTACCGTAAACAAAAGCATCACTGCAGCTTGAGATTGTTGTACGTACTAGTAAAACTCAATGTGAATCCAAAGTATAAAGCTCTTATAGAACTAAATTTGGAAATTTCAAGCTCAGAGGGGTATCGCAGTTGCCAGTTCAACTGACATTTGTTGACTAAAGTGCTTTATAAGTAGTCTCGTAGATCAGAGGGCTAAACAATGACGAAAGTTAACAAATAACGATAAGTCTATCTCATACATTCATAATGAATATGACCATTTTTTTGGCGGCCTGTGCGGAGTCCGCGCGATTCGCAAATTTTGCGAAATGCGCCGAGTTCGCGGGATTCGCGGGATTTGGCCAAAAGCTTGCATATGGGCAGTGAATAACCAACGAAAATCATGCTGATTATTGATTCATTTGGTACTTTGACCCTAGAAAATAGGTTTGTTTTGCTGTGTTTTTTGTGGGTGCGACGGAAAACTTTGTACAACTGTTTTCCTTCAAAGTAATGATTATCAGCACTCTTGGCTTCCTAAAGATGAAGAAAATATCAAAGATCAATCCAAACAATTGAATATCGAATTCATTCTAAACGTTATATGATACTATTCTCTGGTAACATTTACTTCTTACCAAGTGTAACGAATAAATTGAAAAATGATTGTAAATGACAAAACTTACAGCAACGTAAAGGCAACAAACTGTGACGACGCCTGGCATGCGCCATGACATTTTCAAAAGGAAAGCTGACGCATAAAGAAAAGACGACGAGAGGAAAAAAGTTGTGAAGCCAAGCAATTCCCCGAAAACTACAGTAATCGCACTTCGAACTGTGTCGTCAACAAACTCCTGAGAACGCCATGTTTGCTCGTAAACGAGCATCGAAGCTCGATTTTGAATTTTAGGAAGATCTTCTTTGATAAATGTTGTGGGCGCACTTGTCATATTAATGTTTCGGAAAATGATAAGCATCAAGTGATGTGTACGAGAAACTCGGACACGCTGTGCTCTTAGAGTCTTTTTGAGTTGAATTTTCAAGTTTCATATTCTGAAGAACATCAAAGCGACAAGTATCCTGACTTGGGACTTCCTACAAAAGAGGTGATGGCATGTGTAATTCTTAGTCTTACCTTAGTTAACCAGATATATGGGTTCGTAAAGCAGCTTAGGAGGCTTACTTGATTGCCAGATAAAAAAAAGCCCAAACAACATCTCATGGTTTTAGACCTGAAAAGCACCAATTGTTGTCAAGCCCTGAAGAAGGGAAAAATGAAATATTAGTTGGTATCAGGGAGTTTGATATAGTCAAGTCTGAAGCTCAAGTGCAGCTATGTAATCTCCCAATCGTAAGCATTTGGGGAACCCCGCACCTGAAGAAGCATCTTGGAGCATCAAGGATATACAATGACTATATAATCTAAGCCATCTAAGTATCAGATCGCTATATAAGTTTCTGTAACACTTGTAAAAAATCACACAAATTTTTTCAAAAAATTTTGACCATTCTGAAATTGTATTTGATTAGCTAATTGATATATACGCACCACAAATGAAAACTCCAATTATTTTCAGGAATTTTTCAAACTGTTGCGAGCAAAATTTTACGCGATTATTGTAAAGCTCAAATTGCCTTCGTAATGTCACTGACACTTTCTGAATTCCATAAAAAATCTAAAAAGATGAAAAAGATGATTACAAGAATTTTTGAAAGATAAAACATGGAATGATGCCGAATGGTAGCTCTTTACCTTTTCTCATATATAGCAAAAATGAAACTTTGAGAGGTTTTCAGAGTGCTTAGAGTTTTCCATAAAAAGATGAAGAAAGTGTAACAAAACTTAGCTATGACCTAATTTTGAATGAATATAATCAACACGATTCGAAAAACTCATATTGTTGAGGAACTCGACGAAGGAATGAAATCTACTGCGACATGGAAAGAAAGTTGCGCAAGCGCTGGACTTTCACTAGTTTGAAGATAATCCATTCCACAGATCCTCGGGGTGATTGTAAGTGTAAGAAAGTAACAAACACATTTTTAGCACTAATTTAGGGTTCTAGACTTATTTGAACAGGAAAAGATGCAGTTTCAGACAGTCTTCATAAAAGCGCCTGATATAAAGAGAAGCTTAAGTGAAGTACGACCTCTAAGTGCTGTAGGGTGTGGGGCGATGGCACTTCGAAGTGGAGATAATAGGAAGACATGTGCATCTCATCAGCGACAAGACAACGAATTATGACACCTCCGAGCGACAAAAACGGGACAAAATGGCCCGGACCCACTCGGGAGAGTATGAGTCGAGCACAGCCCGCACATACAGATTGCTGCGCACATACACATATGTAATGTCTGCGAAAATATGGGGACTTTCGAGGCGAATTTGGGCACATTCCTCACTCTGAGGAGGGGAAAAATGGTCCCTGGTCTACGGGTTAGTTTATGTGTGTTCAGCTGAACATTAATCTAGAGTTTAGGTGCAGCCGTTAATGTCACGGCGCCGCGTTCGCCTGGCCCTTTTGTCAACTGTGGCGATAAAATTTAGCGAAGCGCTACAAGATGTCGCATTAGTGCTGACATAATGATGAGTGTGAAGCAATGTGAAAGGCCGTTGCTGGCCGCGTCTGACGAGCCCGAAGAAAAGCCAACACAACAGCTGAAGAAAGCCCCAAATGGGACAGCGCCTGGGAGAGAGGAGACTGAGGGCAAAGCTGGGGTGAACCCACGATGCAGACAAAGGTATCAGCAGCACACGAGAACTCGGCCGCTGAATGGACTGTGCTGAGCGTGGGAAGATACGGTTTTTCTGCGCGAGTTGTTGTCACCTTCGGAACGAAACGCAACCAGCTATCGTTTATGGGGTGGGACTGACGCAAGCTGTTTCCAAAAAGGGAGTTCACAAACAAGTATTACCAGGAGCTCTTGCTAATTATCAAGTCCTTTCTCGACTCGTAGACGTTGAAAAATCAACAATACCAATATTCAAATTTATTCCATTGAATTTTCAAAAGGTAGCTACGTTTTTTGTCAAGAATTTGCTGTTAAAATTGTCTAAGACCAAGGAGTATAGAGCGGTGTACAATAAGAAGAATCCGATAACTATCTGAAAAGTTTACTTTGAAATTTTCTCTGAAATTCACAAAGGTTATGTCCTATTTTTACAATATGAAAGAAAAGGACATCAATGCCCTTCTTGAAAATTTTGAAATTTTGTCTTGCTTGGGTCAATACAAGCGCCTCAGAATATCATTTCAGAAACTTCATCCGCCTCAATATTCCAAAACTTTAAGGAATTGTTCAGAGCTAGTTTTTTTGAGTTCCTAGAAAGAAAGATTAGATTTCAAAGAATTGAACGTAACTAAGCATTAGGCACAGTATCTGAAAATAAATTCCATATTTATGTTGAACGACAGCATGTCCGCCGAAAACACGTAATTCAAAGTTGCCTAAAAGTGAAGGGTGAGGAGATTGCGCACCAATCTCAGGTGGCAATCCAAAGTAGGAAAACTGACCATTTCTATGAATGAAGCTTGCGTTCGATCATATAAGATGTTTGTCA